TCAAAAAATGAGGTTGTTCAAAAACCCACCTTTACCGAAAGACCATGATTCGTCATCGGATGGAAGATCAACTCCTCTTGGAGATGTGTCCGGATGTATGACAATCATGGCTTAAAGAAAGTTGTGTAATATTCATAATATAAAACGACTGCAAAAAAAGGCATAAAAGGACTGCCAAAAAAACCTACCGTACTCGCTAGCAAATCTTTGAAAACCTGACTTCTCCATGAAATTCGCGTGGGTACAAGTTAAGCCTATAAAAGGATTCCTACAACAACTTCTTGAATCTTTGGTTCTTCAAATGAAACGGAAACTCCTATTTTGAGCAAGCAGCAAGTCGAATAATGCGTATGTAAATACATATCACTCAATAATTTGCAATATTGTTTGAAAAAATAAGTTATATAGAAAATGTAAAAATTTATAATTCATAGAACCCACCAGACAGATAGAACAATCCTGGAAGACGTTCTCCATCTTTGTGATCCGGGATATACGCTCCAAACTGCATGTCACAATTAAGAACATCACTGAAATGAACTAATCCCATTACCACAAAAGAAACTAAAACAAATACTTTTTGAACGGACAAACCTATGATGCTTATAGACATTCTGGCGACCCTGGAAACATCGGACGGATGACACAACTTCAGCAATCATCTGAAAGTAAGTAATTGTAAAAGAGCTTGTAAGCAGCACTTTAAGTGTTCTACAAAAATAGCACAAGTGCTGTATCGCATCTGATAGACAGAAACTGAAAAACGTTGTCTTGAATAGAGTTTCAAATCCCAAACTAGCAATGTCTAATCTTAGCCTAAGATCCGGCCGACCAAATTCAAAATAAGTTGAGATTCAAAGAGAAGCTAAAACTTCCAAAAAAAGCTTCGGTCGTTCTGACTTTTGTAAAACTGCCCGCGATGCGAACGCGGTGAGAGAAATTGTGTTCAAGGACAACTTTGCACCTATATCACTTGGCAGCAGGCCAGCCTATCTGTGGCGCGAACCACTCTGCCTTCGAAGCTATGGAGAAACTATTAACATTACCTTTCGACTCATTCACTTCAGACGACAGTGAACTAATAGTCCAGGGCTCCCAAATAAAACCAGTGTTTATGAGATTATCAGCAGCAAGGCCTCCTATAATGCAACAGCAACTTTGAGGTAAATAATTACTAACATGATTCTGAAAATTTGAAACTGAGTTTAGTGAGAGAAACTTCTGTAGATTCCAGGTTGGAAGTGGCTCACACCTACCTAAATCTTCAAAAAACTTCTAAAATGTAAATGCTCGAGCATCAAGACAAATGAGGAATTAGTCCGACAGTTGCCTTGTTTTGATCAAACTGAAATATATCTACTACGCACTATTTAAACCTATGATGAGAAA